GTAGAGTGGGGGTGGGAGGAGGACCAGGGAGGATGATTCAACCACTGGATGTCGCTGAAAACAACAAACCCTACACACTGTGCCTTCAAGTGAAAAAGTAAATACATGTGTCTAAATGAATGCGAAAAGTTTTAATCAGATGTTTTATTGTGTTTGTCAAACCACCAAGTGGCCACTGAAGGCAGCAGACAAGAATCATGGCCACCATCTTTGTAGGTGCTAATTTTCCTCTTTACATGTCAAAAACACACAATGTCTTTTSTGTGCGATATGCTGCCTCATCAGTGTGAAATGAATACATGTAGCCTTATCCTGCCTATATTTAACACAAAAAGTAAGAACATTTGTTCAAGTACAGTTAAAATGTGTATTTATAAAAAGTATTTAAGCTAAAATTATTCTGCTAAATGTGATTGTTTATTTAAAAGGGTTTAAAAATTGCTAAATTATAAGGTTAAAATTATCACTGAATGGTAATTTAATTGTATTTAAATTGATTTTGGGTGCCTTAATTTTGATGTTATAATTTCAAAAGTAATTTCAAGTTATTTAAAAAGGTATTCAAGTTTTGGGGTAATTTTAAGTTTGTTGTGTTACATTTACTTAGACCTTTTGTGTTTCTGGTTTGTATTCTAAGGTTTTTCACCTGTTTGACCTCAACACCTTTCAAAATAAAAGAGAAAGAAAAGAAATTCTTGGTCAGTGAGTGAAGTCTAGTTCTTCTAAGTCAAGCTGAGCGTCTCCTCAGAGGCGGGGAGACCGTTCGCAGGTCCTCTGGACGTGGAGGCTGACGTCACGTGGGTGAATCCATGTCTCGGAGGGCAGCTCCAGACCAGCAGACCCCCTCCCACCAGGAGCAGAGGAGTAGCTGCCCAGCCGACGTACAGCGCCGCTCCCATCTCAGACTTCTTTAAAAACCTCGACATCAGCTCGTAGGGCTCGGTCAGGATGGTTGTGGCGTGCCAGGAGACCGAAATACAGCAAAGCAGCCCAGAGAGGATGAAGAAGACCCCAGAAACAACAGAAGCCTTCGACTTGGATTGATCCTCCTTAAAGAACTTTGTGCATCTTTTAGCAATGATCGACAAAACAACGCCAAAGACCCCCGAGACGATGGAGATGGAGGTCATGGCACGAGCCGCCTGCATGTCCTGCGACATCATCTCAGGCTTGTTGGGGTAGCACCTGTTCTGGATACTTTTAAAGACCCAACAGCTCATCCACAACCCCTCCCAGGTGGTCGGACGACCGCCCCAGTTGCAGGTTTCGATGTACACGATCTCAGTCCACATGGGGGTCCCACAGGTCACCGCTGCCAGAACCAGGCCCACAGAGCCGAGGACCAGACCAGCCGTTTCCCTCCTCTGTGCCATGATGATGAGGAKTCGTCTTCATCGGGGGTGAAGCCTCCTCTCAGTTTGTCACCACCCTCCTGTTCTCACAGGATGTCCTTCGGCCCAAATAAGGCCTCCTCCCACAGGTGGAGGAGCGGCACTTCCTGCTTCCTGAGCCTAGCAGAGCACCTGATCTCTTTCAGGTCCGGAGCAAATGAGGAGAACTCAACAAGCAGCAGTTTTAAGATTTCATGTAAAGTTTAGAACATCAGCTCCCCTCCAGCAAATAAGATCCATGACTGTAGAACCAGAATCAGTTCAGTTCAGTTAGTTTATTCATGAATTTCTTTAAATAACAGTAGTTAAAATAGTTTTATCTAAAGTTAATGATAATTTAATCAATTTAAACCAGGTTTGTATTTTAACAAATTCTRTCTGCATCATTTCCAACATCCGTTCTATATTTTTACCAAAACAAAAAAATGTAGTGTTGTCTGCAAATAAAACACATTTGAACAACTGTTGCACATTTACCAAATCATTTACGTATAAAATAAACTACTTCAGTCCGAGTACAGAACCCTGAGGAACCCCACATGTAATACTACTTAATTCAGATCTTGTATCATTTATTTGTACAAACTGTTTCCTATCCTTTAAATAACTAGACACCCACTGTGATGCTCTCATACCGTATTTGTTCAATTTTTCAAGTAGAGGTGTGGTCAGTGGTGTCAAAAGCTTTCAAGTCAACATAAATACTARCACAGTACTGTTTATGATCAACAGCTCTAAACCCATGCTGACTGCTACTTAGAATATTTTGTTTATCGATAAATTGATCCAATCTAAGCACAAATAATTTCTCTAAAATCTTTGAACACTGTGATGAAAAGGATATTGGTTTGTACTTATTGAACAAACATTTCTCACCACTCTTAAAGACAGGAATTACTTTGGCTGTTTTCATATTATCTGGAAATATACCAGTTGAAAATGATAAATTACAGATATATGTACAGTAAATGGCTCAATAACATAATTCATTATTTCCTTTACAAGCATCATGTCCACACAAWCTTTTGATCTTTTTGTCTGCAAGATTTTTTACAATATTCCTGATTTCTTCTTTTTCAGTTCCATCAAGAAAAATACTGTTTGTGCAACCCATGACTGTATGACTCATGTTATTGTCTACTTTTGGTATTTTAGCTGCAAGACTTGGGCCAACAATAATTATTAAATCCATTTATTATTTCATTCTGATCATAAGTTTCATTTCCATCTTTTACAAAATATTGTGAAATATCTGATTTTGCTTTATGGCTCTTTAAGACACTGTTCATTACTCGAGAGTATAGGGA